TTATAATAATAATTTCTAAGAACCTTCTATTATTGGTTGTTACTGTGAATTTGCTGCAATTATGGTTCTTTTAGGCACAATTGTTTAAGGTAATTGATATATCTATAGAGGTAATTACGTGGAGATGATAGCAGCATCGATACTGAAGAAACAATTATTCTGTAAAAGTAAAATAAAATAAATTTTGCAAAATAACTGACCTTATCACTGAAGAAAGGTTGAGTAGGGATGACATGCCTTTCTTCACTTTCTATGTCATTAGTTGTTATCTCTTTCTTTTGGTCACTTGAAAATGAAGAAGCAAAAGCAGCCAAAGCTAGGCAGTTAACAACAGTAATTTCATACAACCGTGGAAACTCAAGCCGACTATTTCCCTCGTAGAAACATTTCAAGTTGGGACAAGACTCTAAAATAACAGTGAATAGCTTAGGAAACAGGTCCTCAGCTCCTTCTCCTTTGATCACTTGCTCCATCTTGGCACAGTTTGTGACTTTCAGACTATAGAGTTGCACAAGGCCCAACGCTATGGAAGATGGGAATAGATATTCCAAATTACCACAGCCTTCGACGATCAACTTCGTCAATTTTGCAACATGAGAAGATGTTATTGAAGCGTGCCATATGGTGTTAACATTAATCCAAGACAATTCCAACTCCTCTAGGTTCGCAAATGCAACCTGCACAACATACAATTCTTCTTATGATTAAACTTCATGATTTATATTTTTTTTTTGATAAAAGTAGGATGATATCACGTTAGAAGCCATACAGTTTAGGTAGGATTAAAATAAAAGTAATGCAAATAAAGAGGAGTATTATATTTATCTAGTATTAAATTAATTAAAAAAAGTATTTTACAAGTCATTCTCTTAAATTATTTTCGAAGAAAATGTCTAAAAAGTCATCTTCCGATTCATATTTCAAAAATTAACTAATGAATTGAAAGTTTTATTTTTATAAATCATGTATATAAATTTTCATGTTAATCTAGTGAGCCTAACTACTTCCTTAACTATAAAAAATTTAACCCCATTAAATATATATATTAATAAATAAAATTACTTTTATCAAAGGGTTATAAGTGTTTGATAAATATGAAAATTGATATGAATGATTTATGTGAACATAGTTTTTAATTCAATGATCAATTTTTAAAAATATTAATTAGAAAGTGAACTTTTAGATAAGGTTTTCAAAAAACATTTTAAGAGGACAACATGCTCTACATTATTCTCTTTTTAATATATACAAAATTGAAAAGTCATTATTTATTACACTATTTTCAAAGAATTATAAGTAATGAGAAATTAATTTTATCTTTTTATCTAAAAATGTGAAATGGTTCCTAAAGCAGTTTGGATTTAGGATTTGGTGCTTTATGGACTTCATAAACTTGGGGTATGGTTCTTCAAGTTGGTTAGGTGTTCCTAGAGGGAAGATTGTATTGGTCAACCTTAAGGCAATGTGAGTTTGAAAGATTTGAATACAACTCTTAATCAAAATAAGAAAAAGCGCTGAGAGAAGACATAGGTGTCATCAATTGAAACTTCTGTAAGTAGAATGAGTATCTCTTCCTACTCATCGATTTCCTCATCATATTTCTTTGCTTGATTTAGAACTTATGTGGTATAATGATTAAAATTTAGCATATAATGGATGATGAGTAGTGGATCAAGGTAACATATAGTGGTTGACAAATACTGGAAAACAAAAAGTGAAAAATAGATGATAAATAGTAGATTATAATTGATATAACTGTTTGGTTAAACAATAATTAACAATTATTATTTGATATTAAATGATTAATAAAGATATATTTAAAAGTAATTAAGTGTATTTATTCTTTTTATATTTTTTCATTATTAAAATTATTAATTTTATAAAAATAATAATAAGAAGAAAACTTATATAAGTTATAATAATAATTTCTAAGAACCTTCTATTATTGGTTGTTGCTGTGAATTTACTGCAATTAAGGTTCTTTTAGGCACAATTGTTTGAGGTAATTGATATATCTATAAAGGTAATTAGGTGGAGATAATAGCAGTATCGGTACTGAAGAAACAATTACTTTGTAAAAGTAAAATAAGATTACGTTTGCAAAAGAACTGACCTTATCACTGAAGAAAGGTTGAGCAGGGATGACATTCCTTTCTTCACTTTTTGTGTCATCAGTTGTTATCTCTTTCTTTTGGTCACTTGAAAATGAAGAAGCAAAAGCAGCCAAAGCTGGGCAGTTAACAACAGTAATTCGTACAACTGTGGAAACTCAAGCCGACTACTTCCCTCATAGAAACATTTCAAGTTGGGACAAGACTCTAAAATAATAGTGAATAGCTTAGGAAACAGGTCCTCAGCTCCTTCTCCTGTGATCACTTGCTCCATCTTAGCACAGTTTGTGACTTTCAAACTACAGAGTTGCACAAGGCCCAACGCTATGGAAGATGGGAATAGATATTCCAAATTATTACAGCCCTCGATGATCAACTTCGTCAGTTTCGCAACATGAGAAGATGTTATTGAAGTGTGCCATATGGTGTTAACATTAATCCAAGACAATTCCAACTCCTCTAGGTTCGCAAATGCAACCTGCACAACTTACAATTCTTCTTCTGATTAAACTTCATGATCTTTTTTTTAAAATAAAAATCGGATGATATCATGTTAGAAGCCGTAAAGTTTAGGTACAACTAAAATAAGAGTAATGCAAATTAAAGAAGAGTATTATATTTATCTAGTATTAAATTAATAAAAAAAATATTTTGTAGGTCGTTCTCTCAAATTATTTTTGAAGAAACCCTTCAGTTTGGGTACCCCATAAAGATGAAGGTGTGTCAATTTTGGCGAGACTAACCTAATGGGAGTTTCTACCAAAGTTGACCGAGTGGTTATTTGAGATTGTGATTGGCTAGCAGCAAGCCCTTGTGACTCAACTATCTCTTCTATTGAATTACAATTCCAGATCTTCAGCTCGTCTAGTTTCTAAAGCCTTTCCAACATGGTTAATGGGAAAATGTTCAATAGCTTTCCACATGAATTTACCCAAAGGTAATTTAGTTGGTAAAAAGAATGTGCAGCAAGTTGGGCTTGCCATATCTTGCTCAAGCCCTCCATACACTCAAACGCTATTTTCTCTAAACTACGTAATGCCACCTGAAGAATCTACCCAATTGCATTAACAAGAAAACATAATCAGAGGGATAATTTAATAAATGATTTATGGAATCTAAATTTTAAAAAATATAAAAATTGTGTGGTGAAACTACAACATATAAAAGCAAAAACAAGGGAAATGCCATGCATAGACATTTGGGATAGTTTAACATAATTTCGGCAATCAATTCTTAAATTGGATAATTTTACTTTAATTTTTAACTGAGGAAGTGGAAGAATTTCAAGCCACAATCATTTAAAGTAATTGACATATCTATAAAGGTAATTATGTGGAGATAATATAACAACATCAACATCAAAAGTAAAAGGACTCTGTAAAAGGAAGTAAAATAAATAATTTCTAGGAAATAACTAACCTTCTCACTGAAGAAAGGTTGAGTAGGGAGTTCAGGCCTTTGTTCATTTCCTTTGTCATTGGCAGTCATCTCTTTCCCTTGCTCTCTTGAAAATGAAGAAGCAAAAGTCAACAGTTTTGGGCAGTCCGCTACAGTAATTTGTTTCAAACTTGAAAATCTGAGCCTACTGCTTCCCTCATAGAAAGACGTCAAGATGAAACAAGACTCTAAAAGAATAGTGTTTAGGAGAGGGAACGTCTCCTCAGCTCCTCCTCCTGTTATCACTTGCTCCATCATGGTACACTTTGTGACTTTCAGAACATGCAATTGTACAAGGCCCAATGTCATGGATGGGGTAAGAAGGTATGTCAAATTGCTACAATTATCAACTTCTAGAAATTTAAGCATTCTGAAAGGCAAGTTTTCTTGAGGCTTCTTGTACCAAATTTCAATCAACTCAGGAAATTCAGAAAATTTCAAGTCCTCCAACCCATGATATCCAGCCTACAAGATGCAATAGATTAATAGCTTGTTAAATGACAAGAAACAAATGATAGCAATTATATTAATAACAACAGTAAGAGAAAAAAAAATGGAAAAATAACTGTGCTTTGACAAAAATTAGATTGGACAAAGACGAAGGCCAAACAAAGATTTGGACAAAGATGAAAAGGTTTTTAATATAGACAGTTATTAGATAAATAAATTCATTTTTCATTAAAAAAAAAAAATGAAATTTGCAAATTACAGTTTGTGCCTAATAGTAATTTACAGCATTTCCTTAGAATTTTCTTTAAAATTATTTTACGATCCTACAACAAATAATCTATTTCAAAATTTTAATTGGGAATTTAAGTTTTTGAATAGTTTCATTTTTATTTTCTCTTTGATCCAAAGAAATCAGTCTCTTCCTCCCACAAAACCTTCGTTATTTGCTATGAATAGGTTTCTAGTTCATGGTTCTTTAATCTATATCAAGCTCCAAACATGAGTACTATAGATCCTTAAAAATTATGTTACGATCCCAAGACGAATAATTTATTCCTTTACTTGGCTATGCATACAAGTGTTATTCAAGTAAATAGAAATTTCAAATGTCAGTACAAGGGTCGGACATGGATGTCTGCCAGGGTCAAGCAAAGAACCCGTGTAACAAATTTAACTAACAAAGTGTTACAATTTATTTTCTTTTAGTTTATTCTTTTGCACAAAACTTGATTTGGTAGCAGCCTTTATTATTGGTGCTATTGGTGCTACTTCATATACTTTTTTTTTTTGAACGGCAAAGTTTTATTGAGAATATAGAGTACAAGGGGTATTCAAACCCATAAATAACACCATCTCCTAATTTTACATACCAGAAACATAAGGAGAAGCCCCCTAATTAGGCACTGTTCGCCCACTATATCAAGTTTTGAAACATGCATGCAACTGGATCAATCAACCAATCTGAGAAAGAAACAGTGGCCCAATCCTTTCTTGCTTTGATCCACCAGAAAGATCTAATTTGAATAAGTTCTAATAGTGTATCAGGATTTACCTCTTTACAATGGAAGATTTTCTGGTTTCTAGCAATCCAAATGGACCAAACGGCTGTTTTCCAGATGCTATCCATGCCTTCTCTATTTTTCGCTCCACTGGTATTCCTCCCGAGTAGAGCAAGCCTTCCATACCCACCTTGCAATTTTGCAATTTAAGAACAAGTGAGTAGCATCCTCTTCTTCATCATTACAATTTTGCTACTTCATATACTTATTGTTGGCAAAATTTACATTTTAACAAACAAAGGGCTACGAGTAATACATAAAACTTGGAAATTAAGGTAGAAAACAAAAGGAAATATTTTGAATTAATGCATACCTTTTCTGTGAATATCTTTTTCATGGTGGAGTTAAGGTTGCCTTCCCAGAACCCTTCATCTTCATCCACAGTCAATTTCACTTTTTGCAGTTTATTAGTGGTGCTGCATTCCCCTTGAGAGAAGATCCGCATATTTGGGCAACCCATCACAATTACATCTTCCAAAGACGCAAATTCAAAGCCACAATTCCCTGAGCAAAAGCTTGCTAGTCTTGGTAGACCACGAAGTAGCAAATACTTGAGTTGGATGAAGACAATGCCATCCTTAACTTCTTCATCCACACACGCCACAATTTCTTTTAGCATTTGACATTTACTTATACTCATTTTTGTGAGTTGCACCATGCTTTTCGCTGTTGAGTATTCAATTAAATTTATGAGTTCATGACATGCAGATACTTCCAAAGTTGTCAAATTCTTGAAAGATACAAAGGATGGCACTAAATTCTTTAAGTTGCTACACTGTAACACTTCCAGAGTTTTCAGGTTATAGAAAACTGATTCCAAAAGTTCAGATAACCTTAATTCACTTGACTCAGTAACTGCAAGTGCAGGTTCTTCCTTATCACCAAGTCCTTGGCAGTGGAATGGTTCAAGAAAGGAAGCTTCACTCACAACAAGCTTTTCAAGATTCGGTGACTGAAAGAGGAAAGGGTGGACAACTGATTGCTCAGGTAATTCGGTGAGTTTAAGTACTTTTAGTTTGGGAAAATAATCCCCTGGATATTGTCCATGCCATATCTCCTTCATAACATCATTCTTATTCAATTCCAGTTCTTCTAGACAAGGGAATGTGGCCTGAAATATATATGGAAATATAATATGTTAAAAATGAATAAAAGAAGCTGGATGCAAAATGGTTATGGAATAATACACATCGACTGTATTTAACTTATCACTTGCTGATACATATGAGCAAGAATTGCTTAATACTCGGATTTTGTTAGCCATTTCTAATTTTTAGTTTAATATTAGAAAAACGTAAATATGTGCAGATTTTGAATTTTTATAAATTCATGAATTAGAAATCAAACACCTATCACCACAAGACAAAGGAAAAGGAAAAAAAATTCAAAATTCTTATATCTTTAGATAGATTAATAATTACTTCAAGTTCATAAATAATATAAAAAATGTAAAAAAAAAAAAAAGTGTTGACCATGCTTTTGGCTGTTGAGTATTCAATTAAATTTATGAGTTGATGACATGCAAATACTTCCAAAGTTGTCAAATTCTTGAAAGATACAAAGGATGGCACTAAATTCTTTAAATTGCTACACTGTAATACTTCCAGAGTTTTCAGGTTATAGAATATGTTTAAAATGAATAAAAGAAGCAGGATGCAAAATGGTTATGAAATAATACGCATCTACTGCGTTCAATTTATCACTAGCTGATACATATGAGCAAGAATTGCTCAATATTCAGATTTTGCTAGCCATTTCTAATTTTTAGTTTAATATTAGAAAACGCAAATATATGCAGATTTTGAATTTTTATAAATTCATGAATTAGAAATCAAACACCTATTACCACAAGACAAAAGAAAAGGAAAAAAAATTTTCAATTCTTATATCCTTAGATAGATTAATAATTACTTCATAAATAATATAAAAAATGCAAAAAAAGTGTTTTTCGGAGCGGACTGTACATTAAAAATGTAGTCCGTCATATGAATTTACTAAAATACCTTGAATGAAATTTTATTTTATTTTATTGTGTTAAAGGTATTTTAGTAAATTTAAAAAAAAAATGTATTTTTAATGTACAATCTAAAGTATATAACATAAATCCCAAAAAAATATTACCTCTATAAATTTTTCTTAAAAAAATAGTTTGGTTTTCTTAGTCAGCCGATGTAGAAAGTAGACATACATTGAAATTGTATTATATATAGAATATATTTATGAATATGTTCAGTCAAGAGAAAAGCTAGGCTTTAATGCAAGTGCATTCAATACATGAGAGTACTTATTTAAATTACCTTGTGTATACAGAAAAGAGATTATTTAGTTTAAATTTCAAGTTGCTGATCTCCATTTGAGCCAACTATGATGAGTTAATTATCATTATGATGATTTTTTAAACATTATATATATATATATATATATTATGCACTTGATTAACTCAATTTGAAGATGTTACTAAGCCAAGATAAAAGCTTTACTTGAAACCAACTGCATATCTACAGACACGCTTCTATGAATATACTTACAGCTCTTACCTTGTTGACTGAGAAAATAGGACAATTGATCCCAATTCCAATTTGGTCATCTCCATT